GCCCAAATGATCTGTGTATTGTCATCTCTGAATCATTTAATATAGGTTATATTATGAAATTCCGTTTGTCTGTGCGTCATTTCTTGGTTATGTCTTGAAAATGATAGAATTCACTACTCAGTAATGAAGACTGATTTAAAATCAATGAATTATTTCCTGAAATAAACAGGTGGTGCCCCTTTGTTATGCTAATAATTACGAGGTATTTATGATATAACATTGTCCATAACGTCGACAACAGCATATCCCTACACAGGTCAGATCACAACACTGTAGGCTCAACGTAACAGTTCTGGTGCTCCAGGCATTTTTTAATGGGCAGGACACCAGAACCGACTTCAGGCTGAGCAGAGTCCCTGGCAGTGCTGCTGAACCGGTTGAATGGAGACCCGCGACATGGATGGGGTGCCACCATTGAGACCCTGGTTTTCTTCTTCTGGTTGGCGTGTGGGACATGATACAGGGTGGTCGCTAGGGCCTTTGACATGCCTCGTTCCACTGTCCACCGCATTGTCCACAGAGTGACCAAGGAAGTGGTGGCCATTCGCCACCAGGTCATCCACTTCCCAACTACAGCTGAGGACCTGGAAGCTGTGGGTCAAGGATCTGCAGGGCTGGCAAGACACCGCGCTTTCAGGAAAGCTGCTGGAGCAATCGACGGCTGCCATGTCAGGATCAAGCCACCTGGCGGCCCTGATGGTCACGGCTACAAAAACAGGAAACTGTTTGCATCTATCATTCTGCAGGCAGTTTGTGACCATCAGGGCCATTTCAATGATGTGTACGTAGGCTGGCCTGGATCTGTCCATGATGCGAGGGTGCTACACCACAGCCACTTGTACAGGTCAGCCTACCCTCCTCCAGGGCACTTCGTCCTCACTGATGGAGGATACCCCTGCTTGCAGCAACCACTCCCCCTCATCACTACGTACAAGAGGACGATGCAAGGTGTGGTTGCCCAGCGTTTTAACAACCATAATTATAGTTATCATAGTTATTTGTTTTTTCTTTAGTCTAAACAAAATAAGTTCTGACATCTGACGTAAAAGGTAACACCTGCAGGGATGTGACCAACGTTTTAACAACCATCATTCCAGGACACACTGTATGAGAGTGCCTTTGGGATGATGAAAAGCAGGTTTAGAGCCATCTTCCTGCAAACGCTGGAGGTACACCACACCTTCGCCCCTCATGTAAGACCTTATAATATCTAGTACCAAAAATAATTTTATCAGAGTTATGACAGTTGTTTACAGTGACAAATTGTACATTTTCAGGTCATAACAGCATGTGCCATCCTCCATAACATCTGCCTTGGGACTGGTGGTATCATGGCCCTGGAGGATGAGCCTGAAGATGGCACGGAAGATGAGGGGGAGGCTGACCAGGAAGCTGCAAGTGGGGCTGTCTGGAGGGACCGGATGGCAGCAGAGGTTTCTGCCCTGGAGGAGGCACCAGACGACCATGACTAACGTCGAGGCAAGTAAAACACACAGCAGCAACTGATGTTAACCTAAAATGTTCTATTAGTAACACTTTCTTAAATAATTTCAATGACATGGCAGCCATCGAGTCAGCCAGTCCTGCAAACCCAGCTCGTGGACAAAGCGGTGGACAGTGGAACGATGGTGTGTCAGCGGCTCTGCAGTCCACCTCAGATGATGTCCTGCTGAACAGGGGAACCAGGGTCTTCTTTGGTGGCAGCCCATCACTTTATCAGCACTGTCAAGGACTCTCTGCTCAGCATTGTATATAGTTAAATAATGTTTTAAATAGTTATTTGTTTTTGTTCTGTTTAAATCATTTTATGCATTCTTTTTACAAAATAATAAAATTCATTGTAATTGATTTCAATTGTTTTTTCAATAGTTTCTGAATGACCACTTCCATTACATTCTGTAACAATTACTTTATTTGAACTTAATTTATAAAAACATGAACAAAATAATAGTAATAACATAACAAATCAACATTTTTAATTAACATTATTTCTGAACCATTTTTTCCAAAATAGAGAACAGTCTGTCCATCATCTCTGCTCTCATCTCCTCCAACTCTCTCTGATGCCTCATGTCTTCCCTCATCAAGTCCATGAACTCTTCATTCCTGTCTCTCTTCCTTCTTCTCTGTCTGACTGCCTGTTTCTCCCTCTCATTCTCATCCTCCTCCTCTTCCTCCTCCTCCTCAGCAGCAGCAGCTTCTTGACCACCCACTGCAGAGCTTGGCCCTGGTCTGTCCTCAGGAAAAGAGGCAATTAGGAAAGGGGGTTAACTGAATGCCTCTGTCCCAACACCTCATCCATGAGGGCAAACCAGGGACAAGTTTCTGCAGTGGGTTTGTTTCAAACTCCCTCACCTGACCCTGGATATTTGCAATCCTACAATACAAAATCATTCATGACAGCAAAAAATACGAGTTTGAACCAGTTACAAAAATAATTGAAATCCTATTTACATACATACTTATGTACTTTTTTTTCAAACTGTCTCATTTTTTATTTGCTTGCAAGGCTGTCACGCTTCCTTGCAAGCCCATTTCCTCCAGAATTGCCCTAATAACAAAAAGGAAGTGCAACATAGATATTATTAGGAGGATAACAAAAATCTTGGACCTTGTCAGCAATCTTAAAAATACTATTTGACAT